CGCACGGAAAATTATAAACAATTTCTCGAAATTACGGGATCGGGTTTTGCGTATATCGGCGAATACTTACACGTTTTACAGGATATCGCGATTCCATTGTTGGAATTAAATGGCCGGGTAGTATCGCGGTTTTCCGGCGAATTTATGTGACGAAGCGTAACAGAATTAACTGTGGCGCGGGGCAAATTGGTTGTGTTAATTTTTCACGTGCATTTTCACGACCGTACCACCGCGCGCAGCGGGTCGGTCCGGCCGGGCCGCGCCGGCCAGCCATCCAACGGTATTGTTCCAGCGGGAAGTTTTCCGCGGGATGCAAATATTCGAAAGGGCACTTCAGGCGTACATTTTGTTTTCACGAAACATTAAAATGAAAAAGGTCCATTACGATTCGTTCGAATTTAATTATCGTTATTTCAAACGGGCCACCGGTCCGCGCGTGTTTATTTTACATAAAAATGCCCGGGCCACGGGATTTTATACCGCGACCCGTAAAATTCTGTCACATTTAATATCTTTATTCGTACGCGCGTATATACACGCTCGACGCTGCAAAATGGCACGCGAGAACGAACGACGGACGAGTCGATAGCGGTCGTCTCTGTCTCTATCTATCGGTCTGCTTCATTTTCCCTCGCGCGATTCCCGTCCGCGTCGCAGAATACTGGACATGCGACGTTATCGATCAACCTCGCACTGAATCATCGGTTTGCAGTAATTATTTTCACGACACGGTTTATCGCCTTTTACTTTGGTAATTGAACACCGCCGGGCTAGAGTCCCACAGCTTTTTATTTTTCTCCGTGAAAAAATTACCTCGATAATCGCTTTCCTCGTCCTATTTCGATACGAACGAAATATCAATCCGTCGATTGGCTCGCGTGAACGTCGACGCGTATACAGGAAATTCGAAGAAACGAATATTTTTAATTCGAAGGAAGATCGGCGAACGCCCGATGGAAACCTCTCTAGTCGCTGCTCAAGGACTTTGACACGCTATGCCTGTCGTTCTAAATCGAGGTCAAACCGAATTTTCTAGTTTAACCTACTAAATAAGGCAAATTTCTGCTTTCTAAAGCAAGACGCTCCACGCGGCGCGCCGAGCACCGGTTAGATCGTAACTTCACCGTGAACTACCAGGGATCTCGAAATTAGTCCCGGGGCCGACGTTCTGGGATTTCCAAACGACCAAACCGCGGGAAGGTGTATCCATCTAACCATGTACGTGCAAACTGTAAACCCCGCGTCTATTTGCGCTTAGAATACGACACCCGATATTGATTTTTCCTCCCGCGAAATAGCAGATTAAATAATCGTTTTCCGACAATTTTTCCGGCGCAGTTACGATTTCGGCCGCGCCGGCCCGTTTTTCCGATCAAATCATCGGACGAGGTCTCGTTGATAGATTCGCGATTTCATTTGGCAAGGATTAGAGACGAGAAAAACAGGCTAGATTCCCGGAGGTATTCAGGACGCGGATGGGTTCATTTCGCGATTTAAAAAGCTCGTTCGCGCCGCCGTGTCCCGGTGTGTCCATGTAGCCCCGGTGTGTCAACACGCGAAGAGAATTTCATATTGGTTATTATCATACGAATATAGCAGGCCTAGGATTACATGAATAATTGTCACGTACACACCCGGCCGCGCGATATGTAAATCCGCCATTATTTGATACAGTTGCGACAATCGTTTGCGCTGCCGCTGGATTCGCGCGGGGGCTCGCCTTTTGTACACTCTTCGACGTGACCCGTCTACGATTATTAATATATCGATCGCCCGATTCTTTCCGCGGCGGCGACGGCGACGCGCTTGCGAAACCGTTTGCGAAATTCGTTGCTTTTTGTTTGCCACCGCTGCCAAGCAAGGAACACATCGCGAGTATTGTTAAATAACCGGGGCCAGAGTCTGATATCGCTTCCTGTATTATCAATTCATGGCTGCAGCTTTTATGGATTCAAAGCGAATACAGTTTCCACCGTTTTAATAGATTTTCGGCGGAACCAGTTGTACGAACTTCCTACCGACAAGGTTTAGCATAAGCAAAAGTATGGGATTGTGCAAGTAATGCGAGCGTGAAAGAAAACATGCCCGTCGACTCTTGTAACGTCACTCGGTTTCGTCACTCGAGCGATTAGTTTGTATCACCTGTGCTCGATTAAAAATCAGACGATGGAAAGAGGAAGAGGAATTTCGACGAGCGTGGCCAACACGTTTCGTTGATGTTTCCAGACATGTGTGTCAGTTTTTGTTTTTGGCCCGTTAAAGTGACAAAAATTTTTTCACGTCCGATCGACGACGCATTCCGTGACAAACGGTTGAAAATCGAATCGCGGCTTCTATGACATCGACTATGAACAATATCTGAAACGTCGGATCAACTCTCGCAGTTGTACCGTCCATCGCCTCGCAAGGTCAGGTGAAAATGGATGAAAGACAGTAGACGAAGGAGCGAACATTTCCCTCGTAACTTTCCACGAATCTTCCGATTCTTCGATGTTCAATAATTCACGTACGCGTATTATATAACGTTAAAAAAAAACTGGCATTGAGGCTCGGGATTAAAAGCGAAGACAATTTATATAAACATTTATATAACGAAACGGGAGCGGTAATAAACTATTGAAACGTCGACGAATATTTCACCCTGACACGTGATTCCAAAAATTTCATGCGATTACGTTTTACGCGATAGTAATATCCATTACGCGTTCAATTACGTCGGCGATTACACCAATAATTATTATTGTCGATTTCTTATAGCTCGTCAACAACAATTTGTAGACAATTGCAGGTTTAAAAAAAAAAAACAAAGAACAACTTGATGAGATAAGGAAATCCACTGGTTAAAGCGGTACGTAGGTACGTCGTACGTCGACAACGTGAGTTCTATTTATTCCTTCTATCAGCCGTGTTTGCTCGTAATTCTAAGCAAGTCTCCCCCGGCAAGCGTTAATTTGACTAAGTTATCGCGTCAATAAGTGTCTAACTTTTAAACGAGAGCGGTGGACGCGAACGGCGCCGTTTCCGGTGGAAAGGATTTATCGAGGAGCCAGTCGCGGGTTTTATCGTCGGATTCGAGGTTAAGAATGAATCGGCCCGAACTGAATCACGTTCGAACCGTGCGTGATTTTTCAACGAACCGGCCACGAGAAAATCACGGATCCCGCGTTATCTATCGCGACGATTCCCGCGAACGGAAATTCGGCCGAAGGACGGAAAGGAGACCGTGTAACGGAAACCCTGCGCGCTGCGATATCAACTGTGACCGTCGTTTTACCAACATCCGTCCTCTAATCCTAATTGACGAGCCGACAATCGGAGAACATTTTTCATCATCCGGCGACCAATTAGATTTTTTAGCAGAACAATTTGCGTAGAATATTTCCTTGACAACTTGATAAGAGATACCAAATGAAATTAATCGTAGAAAAAAAGAATTGGCGTGAGACTGATTGAGAGAATTTTCGTAAACAGCATCAGAGTTTGGGAGGATCGACTTGAGTTGATAATTTTTATGAAGATTTTTAACGAACAGGGAAATGAATTTCGTATCGCGTTAGAACGCACCCACGACTTTCGCGTTTCGGTTGCCCTTGGATGTTGAAAATGTAAGCGGTACCGGTCGTTACGTGTTCCGGAGCGACAGGTTCCCCTGCGAAACACGTGACGCGTTGCGTACGCTTTCGCAATCGTTCGCCGGTAGGTACATACGTCCCCTGTACCAAGTACGAGGCGATTATTTAGCTTGCGAATTAGGGAGATCGCGTCGTTCGCTAAACTCGATGACAGAGTGTCAAACAACGACTGTGAACCTCGTAACGAGACTGAAACGTTGCACGTTGCCGACGAACGCGGCGTACGGGGTGAATAAAATTTCGTCGATTCGAATCGGAGTGAGCTCGAGGACAATTGCGTATGGGGCGCGCATACGAAGCGGGATCGCGGTGCCAGGGTCGTACCGCGGAAAATAGACGATTTCCGTTTCGCACGAAGCGTTTCGGAGTTCCTGCGGGACGCTTGGCAACCAGACGTCGAAACCGGAGGAACCCCAGAGGGAGGAAACGTAACGGACGCGACATAAGACCGGCTGAACGTAACGAGGTCACTCGTTACGCGAGAGGGAAGACTCGGCGAGGTAGACGAGGCAACGATAAGAGGCTATCGGTCTCGGAGAGCGATATCGCTGGAATCTGCCACGATCGAGTAGAATCATCCCTCGAGTCGACGTGAAAATTGTCACACGCGAAGAGAATCCGATGGGCGACGAAACGTGGGAAGAAATTACGAACTCAGAGGGAGAGGAGAAGGAGGAATCGGCGTGGCTGGTCGAAGAACGAGCACGGTCTTTTCGGCCATTTTGGTGTCTAAGAAGCTCTCTAGTCCGTCTTGTGGCCTGTCGATCTCCCTCCCTTCGACCTCTCCTCCCCGCGGCCCGACGACTTCGTCTCTCTCTCTCTTTCTCTACCTATCTATCTATCTCTCACTCTTTCTCTCTCGTTCGCTCTCTCACGCACCTAGAATCGCATACGATGACACGTGCACACGCTCGCTCACGATGCAGGTACCTACACTCGCACACGCGCGCACACGCAAGGGCACTCCTCTTTCCGTCTCTATCTTTCCCCCCTGATTCTTTTCCTCCTACCCTTCGGCCCCCTTTGCTCCTTCTTTCCTTCTCCCTCTACGACCGTCTGTCTCTCACCCTCTCTCTCTCCCTCTCCCTTTCTCCGACTCTTTCTTCCTCGCTCGCCCTAGGTGTTTCGTTCGGTCTTGCTCGCGAGCCCTCCCTCTCCGCCTCGGCCCCCCTTCCTTTCTTCCCTCTCGGCGTGTCTCGCGCGCGCGACCGCCGACACGCATACACGCGCGAGCGCAATTCTCGCGCGCACGAGACGCGCGCGCTCTCTCGCACTCTCGAAAAACGCGTAGGACTCGCGTGTCCGCGGATTCTCCGGAGAAACAAGAGCACGACGACGCGGCCAAGAATGATCAACGCCGGTACTCACTCTCGCGACGGAAAAGATTCACCGGGTCGCACACTCCCTTCTTCGTCCGCGGAGCCTCAGAGTGGTTGGTAGCGGCTCGCCACTCTCGTGCCGAGCCGGTAGCCGCGCTCCAACGGCATCATTCTCGACATTCTTCGTGCTCCTTCCGTTGTTCACGTGTTCCGTGTGTTCACGATTCCAGATCCGTTGCTCCTCGCGTTACGGTCTCACGGGCACCGAGGAAAACAGCGCGAAACAAACGAAACGACGGCAAACGCGACGCGGCGACCGCGAAAACGAAACGACGGCCGCGAACCGACGAGACAAGGTCTCGCTCTCGCTCGCTAGACCGACGACACGCGTACGAAAAAGGAGATCGAGCGCGAACTAACGAAATGGAATCGACGGTTGCACACCGAACACTCCTGCAGTTGCACCGTGACTCCCCTCCACCGTTTTCCTTCCACGCTAGGAGCCTGTTGCTCTCCACCGTTCGATCCTTCCGATCCTCTCAAGAGCGCCGCCTGTCTCTCTCGCTCTTTCCGTTTCTCTCCGTTCCTCTCGCTCCCTCCCTGTTCCTCGTTTTCCCTTTGCCCCTTTTCGTTTTCCGTTTCCTTCGCGACGTGTTCGATTCGGGAGGATTCGAGTGACGGGAAATTGGAGCCCACCGCGCGATTCCCACCGACGGACCCACGTTTTCCACCGAACGACGTTCCGTACGATCACTGCCACCGAACTCGAGATCCCCGACGACGCCGGCTCGTTCCTCTTTCGTTTCCTCTTTCGATCCTCCTTTGTTTTCCCTTGTTTCTAGGTCAGTCTCTCTGTCCTTGCACTCGTTCTGTCGTCGATCCTTGGATCGTCGGATCGATCTTGCTCAACGGCGGCGGTGCGGTTCCTCTCTCGCGGAACGGAACCGAATCGGCTGTCAGCGGCGCGATCAAATCGGAGCGGAGAACGACTCGGTGGACGTTGACGCGCGGAGGGCGTGAGTTACAAACCGCGAACTCGCGTGCACGACGATGATCAACAACAGCAGCAGCAACAGCCACGACGACGTAACACGGATTCTCCTTTCGACGTACTCGCACAATTTTTTCTCCAGTCGAATCGCGACGCGATCGTTTCCCCCGTCGCTTCCCACACTGTCCCAAAGTAACGCTCTACCCCCGCGGTTATTACTTTTCATTCGCGCACAAAAGAAATCACCATTTTCCTTACTCCGTTCCTCGCTCTTCTTCCGCGTTTGTTTTACTTTGTTTTCTTTCGATTCTCGGCTTATTTTCCCGTCACTGCCCCCCGTCGCGGGTTTCTCTTTCTATCTTTCTCTCTCTCTCTCTCTCTCTCTCTCTCTCGCTCTCGCTTGTTTCCACGGGCTGACGACAGGCGAGAGGGAGACGAAGCGACACACGCACACGCACCACTTGGCCAGGCCTCGACGTTTGATCCGGCTCCGGATATGCGACGTTCGACGAGTTGCATTGGGTCGCGCTGCGCTCCCGTAACTGCATCCGCGTCGGACGGTGCGGCTTGCGCGCTAGGAGCGCCGCCATCCAACCAACCCCACCATCTTCGTCCCACCACCACCAGCACCAGCACCACCCGCCGCCCGACGACACACCACCACTGTTCCTCTCCTCGCCCGCCGACGCTACTACCACCGACTCCTAGCACCAGTACATTTTACACTTAGCGTTTAAGTACGTACCAACACGCGTCGCACACCTTTCTCTACTCGCAAACACCACCACCACCACTACTACCGCGATCATTCTCGTTCTCATTGTCGTCGTCCTCCTAGTCTACGTGTACGTACGACGCGACTAATACACAGCCGCTTTCTCTACTTACTCGCTCAACACCGCGCCGCGGATCATTCTCGTTCTCGCTGTCGTCGTTCCTAGTAGTAGCAGTCATCGTCGTCGTCGTCGTCGTCTACGCGTACACCGGCCTGGACGTAACCGACGCGCGACGCCGTCTTTCTCTACTCGCGAAATACCAATACCACTACGATCGCTCTCCTACCCGCGGCAGTCATCGTCGTCCTCTTTGTCTACGCGCAACCGACACACAGACCCGCCACTACTACCGATCCAACCATCATTCTCGTCCCCGTAGTCGCGTTTCGTCTGACCAACCAACACACTCACGTCTTTTTCTACTTTGCTAACCAACACCGGCGCTCCGGTCTCGGTGGTAGTGATCATCATCGTCCTTTTCGTATGCGTTTCGTTCCCCCGCTCGAAAAACCAACACCACCGTCTCGTAACAGTCATCGTCTACCGTCTGACCGACCAACACACGAGGACTTTCTCTACTCGAAAACACCACCACCGACGCTACTGCCGTCGACCCACTCGTCGTCGCGTTGTGTCGACGCTTACCACGACCACGACCACTACCATCACCATTACCTCCGTCACTGGCACCGTGTCGAGCCACGACACGCGCACCGTTCCTCTTTCTAACGAGCAAGAGCCCTGCGTCTCCGCCGTCATCGACGTCGGTCGTCGTCATCACGGTCGTCGTCACCCAGTGTACCAGACGGCCGTGCGCGATATTTAAAAGATCTGGGTCGTTTTTTAACTATTTACTGCGGTATTATTGATACCCGCGATTTTGACGTTTGTTAAACTAGCTTATCGGCTCAAGTTTTATCGTATGAAATGATAAACGACGTGCACATAGTCTTCAACGCGATAAATCGTCGTTTGTTCAAACGAAGTTTTTAGAAACGAAAACCCGTTATCTCAAATTTTTTTTAACACAGGAACTATCGAGATTCGATCGAGCAAAGATTTACTCAGATTAGAGGATTGGAAAAAATTTCGTCTAGCAAAAATTCAAGCTGGACGCTTGATTTAAGGGCAACGTGTTGCGTTACCAGAAGACGTCGACTACTATCTTTAGAGCGGACGTTTGCTCGTTTCGTCAGTGCACGATTCGCTCCCCGGAAACCTGTTCCAGTCCCAGCATTGCTTTTGTCTTACGTTCATAGATCGACTTAATGCATTCTTACATGCGAGTTCTATCGATTTCCCAGACCGCGCTCCTTTCCGACTTTTCTTCGCGGAACGCGATCCCTCTAGAAGCCAATTTAAGAAAGCCTAGTCGTTCCCGGAACCCAACCCGCCTGATTTAACCGGCTCCGTTTCCCGAAACCCCGATCGTCACTGGTGGAAGAAAAAAAAATCCGCTCCCACGCCCGCTGTCGTCGCACGAGTTACTGGAAAGATGATCAGGAATCAAAGTTGAAAGTATTCGCGTTTCATATCTGGCCGAGTTCTGAAAGCAAATTTATCGGAGTGGCAATTAAGGCAATGTCCAGCTTTTCTAGGAACTTCGCGACGTTTTACGAGCAGATAAATTTCGTTTCTATCTGCGCGTCAGCCAGCGTGCACGAACGGCGACGTTTGGTAACCCGTCTGAACCCCGTCCCGTCCCGCACCGCGCGTACCACCGTGGCCATGACACTTTTAATAGGAGACAATTTGACGCAGTTGCTGCTGCGATTTGAAATTTAAAAGCTAATCGCCATGGCGCGGAGCCACCGCCAGCCGAATCGCGTCCGCCGCGTTTGCCGAAGATCGATGGACAATAAATGTGTAGCAAACGATGCGACGCCGGGAAATCCCGACCTTGTCACATCTCATATACGCGCAAAGATTAGTTTAAAAAATATTGAAAACGTGCTGGCGTCATTTCAGCAGCTGTGCCCGTTGCGATTGCACAGAGAAAGTGTAAAGACGAAACCGTTGAAATTCGTATCGCGATTCTATAAAGAGATAAGCGCGCGCTTATAACTGAAAACCGTCCCGTATTAGGGCAGCAACGGGCTTTGTAATTCGCGCTGGACTCGCGGGATCGTCTATTAATTTATTAACTGCAAATACGCGCACCGTTTCCCGCGCTGCAGTCACGGTATCGTAAAATCTTGTTAAATTGACCGTGAAGTTCCCAGTAATGGGTGCACCTACGATAAACGCGATTATAACTTTTATCTAGCCGCGCTTTTAATCCTTCCCGTTTCTTCATTCTTTTCTATCGTACCACGCGTAATTGGCAGAGCCTCGCGCGTACGCATCGTTCCCCTTCCGTATGCATATCGTACGCGCGCGAACCCGTAAACAGATGCGGTCCGCGCACTTATCCAATTCCTTGGAAACGCGCTCGCATTGAATAACCGGCGGTATTCGCGGATTATTCTCTTCCCTAACTGGATGAATGAACATTTTATGACGATAAGCGGAAGGACGACGTTGCAAACGGAAGTGGGTCCCCTTCGAACCAATACCCGAATGCAATCGCGAATCGTTGGACGCACCGAGCGTTATCGGGGGGTCGGAACCGCGTCCTATCTATGTATCTATTTATTGGCCTATCTTATCTTTTTCGTGCACCGTTTTCAAACTTTGCGCAAGACCACTAGCGATAGAACGCGGCTAGGCGCGAGGGGAGCGTAGATCGAGTAGAAGGGGATGGACCTTGAGGTTAACAGTTTAGAAATTCGTTAGATAATCCTGGGGCACGGCGTGCCTCCGGTTTCAAGATGGCAGTCGAAAGTGTCTGATTAGATACGGACGCGGTGCGCGTCGACGCCTCGCGGGCAACAGATGACGATGGCCAACGACGGACAAGTTACGCAATCCTCGCGAAATTGATGTATCTTCTTCCCAACTCCCGATCCACGCGTGCATCCAGTTGAAACCGTGAAGAACTAGGGGCCACGCCATTTGACCGCGCCGACGTAGTCATTAAGCCATTCGATGACGGCGGATGATTTCGCGGCATGATCACCTCACGACGTTCGCCCCAAAAACGATTCTTTTCTCTATCGAAAGCCAATTCTGTCCCCAGCGTGAAATGTTCAAACTAGCAATTGTCTGCAATCTACGTTTGTGTTAAAAAAAAAAAACGCGGTATTGTTATCACCGGAAAGTTTTACTATTGATATCATCAAAGGCAGTATAATCTATAGTTCGCGCTTGGACAAAAGAACCACTCTACGACGTATTACGCAGCTTGACAGCGAGTAACGTTATTGTCGTAGGGTTAAAAATTCATTGCCGGACGGTTAATGCCGCGAGACCGATTCCATGTATACTTGACATTAAATTCTCTCTGCCGGCCTTCTATGCAGCTCGGTTGATGCAGGCATCCAGCCTTTCTCTTTCCGAGCCAATGCCTGTGCCACGTACCGAAAAATCTACGCCTACCCATAGACGAAACCGTTCTTCTCACGAGGTTCTCCGTTCTCCGACAAAAGAATGTCGGACAGGAAGCTGCGAGATGGATAAATGAAAATTGCCCCGCAACGTTTTCCAAGTGGAACTGTTAATCGCGGGAAACCCGATGGACGATGGTCGGTCTAGTTCAAAGAGTAAAGGAGTAATTCATGAGTTCCCGGGTGAGAGAGATATAACGGGGTCTGTGTGTCGTGTTTGTGCGTGAGTTCCTCATCGTTCTGCTCGCAGCAGCGAGCGAGCCTGTCGGATACAGCGGGCCGCGAGCGTGTATGCGTGTTCATTGCTCGTACGTCGATGCCACGTGACGTCTAAATTCAGTCGGCCATTTTGGAGCATGATTCATTTGTTTAGAACGGGTCGGATAGGAGTAGGAGGCGGAGCAACGCACACCAAATGTTCGTCCACGTTCCGTGGATTCGAACTTTCGACGATCCCGTGTCCCTTGCTTCTCGTCCCTCGGATTGGCGAAGCTCGGTACGCGATACCGATCGGTGGAAATTATGTCCGATACCTCGATTGAATTGTAAATCGCGTTACCTGACAATAATTTAACGCTCATTTGCAATGTTTACCTGCCAATTTAATAGCCGCCTGCGTTCAGATCGTTTTCTTCTAAACGAATTAAATATGTAATCGCGTATCAGAATTTTTCATTCTTATTCATGAGCGACGCGTTCGGAACCGGTAAAACCTTTCAAGGCGACGTTTGTAGATGGCCGCGCAAAAGAAAAACAGGATGGTACAAGGCCCGCACCGAAATCGCGTTTCTTTCTCTCCGATTGACCCTCGAGCGTGATCACTGGGGACTCGTCTCGCTCCCGGGATCAAGGAGCGCGACAAGGTTGCCAGCCGTACTTACTTTACTTACGCTGTCCCCTCGAAAAGGTGCATGAATTATTTATCGGCCGCGAATAAAACCAGAAGGAGAGGAAAGCGAACGCATCGGGACAGTGACGATCTTATCGTTATCGAGACGAATTCCAAATCCCTCTCTCCCATTCGTCTATTTATTCCAACGCGCCTCTTCCCCCCCTTTTCAAATCAATTTATAATGCCTCGCACGATTTTTCATCGACGTATCAAGTCGGTCTGACGAGATTATTGATATTTAAGGATGTATTGGCTATACAGACAATCCCAAAAGTTTATGCACTTTAGAAACGCATTTTTTAAAAAGAAATCAAACGTCGGAAGAACATTGCTAATAATAAACAACAAAAAAAAATTTTTCGATTTTTCCGAGATTTTTCCAAGGGGTACCCCTTCAATTTCTTGCAAATT